ACGGAGCAATAAAACACTTCTTACTACAGACAACTAGAAACACACCAGTGCTTTCAATAAACATTAATCTAGCACAGGCATTGTAAGGTAGGAGCAATGCTATGAGCAAGCAGTAACTCAGGTTTGCTCATCAGGATAAGCTCTGCTACTACAGGTCCCACAGCGTTATCATCATGCAGTGAAAAATGACATCACGTACATCGTGCAGACAGAAGACATGCCACTAAAGAGACTGCACAAGTTATTTTGGGTTATCCCAAGGGGGAAAAAAAAAAATCATAGTCTATAGCCCGCAAGGAGATCCTTTATCAAGAACACTTCATTAACCCAATGCAGGTGGTGTTATACTCAGAGGTTACAACCTAAACTATCTCAGGAAGAATCTCGTCTCTAGTGGGTGTAACAAGAAACCCAGACATGACTCAATACAGCTCCAACTGTCACACCTTTAAATATTTAATTTGCATTACAGCTATTAACATTTCACATAGAAAGAGCATGACCATTTGACAAAAACAAAATTAAAATTTGGGGTTTAGATTTTTTTTTTAATTATAGGTGATTTTGCTCAAGTCCCTTAAGCAAACAGCTTGAAGCACTGGAGTTACAGCCCCCCATATTGCTCATCTCGGAGATGAGGGGCAGCACTGAGGGCTTCAATTATCAGCATGTTCTCTCAAATCAAAGAACCATCTTGAATCTAAGTGAGACACGGCTGATTTTAATCAATAAACCTCTAAAGGTACACTTATTTCCAGTGGAAATCAGAAAACTGTGCAATAATCTGTCTAGTAAGAAGTATCAGATCAGTGCCTGTAGTCACTTGATTTTCCAGAAAGTGCAAAAACCACACAACAACTAGAGAGTACTTACTTTTTTAGCTCCTATGACAGCATTAAGAAAAAAGATAAAGTTAGAGAAAGTTTCAAATTCTAGGGATGCAGCAGCTAGTCAGCAAGGACACAGAATGACAAAAGCCAAATGTATTATCATATAGTTAACTTCCCCCATACGTAATACATTTAAACTTGCAGCTGATTTACTCTCCAGAACTGCATTATCTTCACGAACCAACACCACAGACACTCAGTTACTTTCAATTTTAAAGAACAAGCAATAAAAATATACATCTCCAAAAGGATCTACCCATCATGACCGGGAATCAGCCAGAGGGACTCCCAACCTGCCATACCAATACTGCTGGCGCAAAAGTCAAGCTAAGATTTACCCAGTTTCAGGTAACTAAACACCAATAGCAAATTCTTTCAAGAACACTGAAAATACAACAATTATAACATCAAATAATGAATTCACATGATTGTAGTTATTTCTACCAGAAGTTAGCAATCTGTACAACATTCTGTGAAGGAGGCAGAAATAAAACACTAGCACCAATACTCGGCCTACTAATTTTTCAGGAGAAGCATCAATGCAACATGTGAAAGCTCGCAGTAGAATTTAAGACTGACACTAGGCTACACCCATAAAGCCTGAAGAGACACAGCTTCTCAGGTCACTAATTCAACATTACACATAAAAAAGGGGATTTCTGCAAGGAAGTAACACAAACCCCCAAGCCAAAGTGACCACAAATGTTCCCCACCAAATCTGGCTCACAGGAATTCAAGTGTTGCTTTAACAAAGATTATTACCAGGCAAAAATCTTCGTAAAGGCAATTTACCACAATAAGTAGCAACGCCATTTTCCAAAAACAAGTCCAAGATACTTGCAGTACCTATTTGTTTCCATGAGGGGCCAAAACTTAGGTGTAGTTACGATAAAGACCAGATTTTCAATGAAGTAAAGTTTACCAACACGAAAAAAAAAAAATTTAAAAAAAGTCATTTCTACCCTGTGTTCCCAAGTTTTCCCAACGGAACCTGGGAAAACGTATTTATAATGATTTTAATTACACAAACCATCACCTCAGCTGGTGCAGCCTGATGAGTGATTATGAGCTGCAGACTATAAAAACCAGACCAGAGCACTACCAGTTCTCCCAGCAAACAAATTTACTCCAGACAAGACACAAGCTCACACTCCTACTTGAGCCAAGCCTGCTAAATCACAGTACGATGAGTGAAGGGAGTATACCTCATCTGACAAAGTCTGGAGGGACAAATTCACCTCTTCAGAGGTTCTGGAAGAAATTTAAACTGACTTGGGACCTCTTAAGAGCCTGCACCATATGTCACGCTGCTCGCAGTCTGGTCTGAGGCAGCGAAGATTTACCACCGCCCCAAACCACAGCCTGAGCAGTTGTTTCATCGCTTTCCGCCTGGTATTCTCAACCGCCCACTTCACCTCCTCAAACAGGAAGGTTAAAACAATTAAAAGAACACGTTACAGTTTTATGAACACTTTCCACTGGCAAAAATCAGAGCACAGAAACTAGATCTGAGTTAGAGATGCATCAATCTACATTTAAAGTGAAGTCAGGTGACATGAACAGTTAAGCTCGGGTCTGTCCCTCAAACCCCTCCTGAGACCCCATTCGTCCGCTGCCTAGTAACATTTTCAGAAGTAAAGCAGTTTTTCATTTAACTAGTATTTTTTTTTAGCACGAAGAAATTTAACACTTTGAGACAGAGGCAGCAAACTTTATAAAAAGTGTTTAAGAAACATAAATCTGTGAGTTGAGTAGAAAAAAATGTAAGGGCTCTTACTGCATGCCCCACTCCAGTGTTCCCAGGACAATTTTGCTTTTCCAGTCACAGCGCAGACAATTTATCGACTGTTTTACAAAGCATGAAGCCACTGGAAAGGCAAATGCTATTATTAATCTTTACCGATGTCAAATAATCAAATACTCCCAAGTAACAAAAAAAATCACAAGTCAATGTTTAGGCCTCCCATGGACTGCTAAAGAGAGCTTACAAAAACAAGAAAGAATTTTTAATTATGGCTACTGCTTCAGAGCTTTGGGCTTGCTGTTGTCTTGTCCTCACATCCTGGGTATTTCAAGCCAGAAAAAATCTGGGCTGTACTTCCAGCGCTGCAGGGAAATGCATAAAATTAAAAATAGGCAATGAAAAGGTCTCTATTGTTGTTCTGTTAATCCAACATAAGCTTTGGACTTCAGCTACTTGGCTGCCTTATCCCCCTAAGTCTAGCTACTTTTTAACAAGTCAGTAAAACAAAAGTGTACAATACATTACCCTAAGGCTGTAGTCAAAAAAAGAAAGTTAAGTCAACTCCTTTTATTGGTTTAATGAAAGCCACTCTTCTGTCCATGAGAAAGTTACATTTCTCCTGAATTGAGAGACCTAGAAAATAAACGCGGGTTTTCGGGGGGAGTCAGGTTATAAATACATTTGTCACAGCCTCCCGGAGACCTAAATTCCATCAGGCCCTGCACAATTTCTTGCACTGGAACGGAACTGCAATTTTAATCTCAGCTGCGTGCCAGGCTGACTTGTCGGCTCCCAACAAGGCACAGCAAGTCAGGCAGCACCATGATTCGAAAGCAGCTCTTCCAGAAATAATTCAAGTTTGATGCAGTTTAAAATATTTCCAATAGCCTTGAAAAAAGTATCTTTAGATGAGTAAGAGGAGCAAATCTCATTCGCCACTGATTTCTGGAGGGATGTGACAGCCGCTTTCCGCAAGCCATAATGAAGAAGGCAAGACTACAGACAGTTTAATTCCCTTCTTCAGAAAAGACATCAAAAATGGGCATCAGGTGGCACTGGGGTACTCCGGATGATGGTGACACAGGGCAGTTCGCTGTGGTTCGACCCCAAGAGCACCCCACGGATGCAGCCCCAAAGGCTAAGCAGGAAAATCCCGATTTCTGCAGGTCCAAGCAGCAATCAAGCCAACACGGGTTGCTCTTCCCCCAGCCCAGCACTGACAGGTTCTCACTACAGGAGATTCTATCCCAATCCTCCATCTGTGTATTTGCTTACATGTCCTGGCACAGCTGATTTTGACCAGGCCAACATGGTTATATATTTAGTGCTCTTCTCCTATCGCATGTCACACCACCCTCCCCATCAGAAGCTCCTGAACGCTCATCCCAGCCGCAGCCAGAAAAAATAAAGGCCAGAAAATCCAGAAAGGCCCCATTTGATGTCAGAGGCAGAGCAGAGAGAGGAGCAAGAAGGTTCACAGGGACCAGTCTCTTCCTTTGTACAGCCTCGGACCAGCACCTGGGCTACGCCACACTCAAGACATCTGCACTACCCACGCCTTCCTAGTGAAATGCTTCTCCTCTTCCCAAAACTGCTACTACTGCAGTCCTGCACAAAAGCGAGCACCATTTCAGCTAGAAATTTAGGCACCGGTTAGACACAGCTGCCTCATACCTACCTGTTCTACAGCAAGGGAAAGGCATCAACCCTGCCCTGCTTCCTGGTTTTTATTTTTGGTGATTCAAGAGTTAAAAGAACTGAGACTGGTTTCACACCAGAGGGTCTGATGGCCTCTTGCAGCTGAAGGGAGCAAATCCACCCCCTCCTCAACACTGGCACCGAGTCAATACAAGCAGCTAAAGCAAAAGAAAATATTAACATTTGTGTAGTATTGGGTCTTCTGCTGGTTTAACTCCCTAAACTGGCTCTCCCCCAACCCACGAGCAGCAGAGACGGTGGCTCAAAGCAGTAGGACACACAGTGAGGAGAAGGAGCACCTTCATCATAGAATTCGGGTTAGAAGGGACCTTAAAGATCATCCAGTTCTAAAACCCCTTGCCATGGGCAGGGACACTTTCCACTAGACCAAGTTGCTCAAAGCCCCATCCAACCTGGCCTCGAACACTTCCTTTGCTTTAATACAAAGCTCCACACTAACCTTTAGCCAGGGAAACAACGACTGCCAACCTTGATCACCCGAAAGCGGGATTCTTCACTCCAAGCAACAATGCCGCTGATTGCTAATGAAGAGATAATTAAGGACACAGGATATCGGCAGCAGGGAAAGACAGGAAAAAAGTCACCTTCACAAGAAAAAGCAAAATAGTTGAAAACAAACAGCTTAGGTGAAGAGAAAAAAGGCATACCTGCAAGGTCAGGGAGAAAGAGGGCACACCTAGAAAAGGAGAGGAAAGAATTACAGCTATAAGCCAAGCAAAGTTATTTTCTCTTCCATACTGAGCGCGACAGGATTGTGAACATCAGATTACAATCAATTCCAAAACATCAATGATCTAGCCGTGAAAGAACAAATCCACATTGATTTTGGTGAACACCGGGAGGGGAGGAGGGGAGGAATGACAGACTGCAGCAGCCTCAGCAACTTTAGCTACCGCTGTAATCCTTCACAAACCCCCAGAGAGCACATTCGCAGCCTCCGCACAACCACTCCTCCCCGACTCTGCCCATTTCCCAAATAGTTCTGAAGCAGATACGTCCCAAGCAAGCTGTTGTTGAAACAAAAAAGGAAAAGCAGAAAGTGCAGGATGGGCTGATGGAGGCACTGCCAAGGTTACAGAGGGACTGGGAACAGCAGGACACAGAGAGGGAGAGGTGAGATGAGCAGAGCCCAGGTGCACCTACAGACCAAGGGCAGGACAACCGCGGAGGTCTGCCATTACAGGGCTCCCAGCTCCAAAACAAGTCTGGAGAGGCAGCTAAGGGTGCTGGGCCATGGGCTGGATCAGGCCGCTGCTTCACTTACAGAGGGCTGCCAGCTGCTCTGTGCCAGAACAGGGCAGCAGCTCCAGTTTCCCTTTGCAGCAGCTGACTCAACAAGAAACCCTTGCCAAAATGAGTAATGGGAGGAAGAGCAGACCCCCGAGGCAACCAGAGCTGTTGGCGACAGGGGGGTCCCCTAAACTCCCCTTCTTACCAGGACAGGAACCGCACTGACGCCCCCAGACTTCAAGAGGTGAGGTTTCATGTAGCAGGCGTATCCCCAAAACCAGCACCCCAACAGAGAGGGAACCTGCTCTCTCCAATCTGTGGCAAGATGCACAGGTTTAGGGAGACCTCCAGCATCAGCCCATCCAGCCCTTACTCCGGTAACTGGGTGCTCTTGCAACCACCTACCGAGACACCGCAAAGGGAAAGTGACCCCACAGCGAAGGGAGAGCCCTACAACCCCCCTTCTCCAGGCCTGGGAGGGGAAAAAGGATTTCCCAGATAACGATGGCCACCCCAACATCCTCCTTTCTTGGCATGTGAGGGGAGAAGAAACTCCACAGGGAATGGAGGGGGCCTCCCACAATCTCCTTCCCAGACCTATTAAGACGAAAGACACCAAAGAGCTTGTGGGGAGCTTGGAGGGTGTCACCTCACTATTCTCCGGGATTTTGAGTGAGGAAAAATAATCCCAAAGAGCGAAGGCACCCTAAGCCTTCTCCTTCAGGACTCCGAGGGAAGGGATGCCACAGATAACGGGGGGGGACCCACCCCCATTCCCAAAGCCATGAAGGGGAAGGATGATGG